CCATGCTGGCTGGGGAATTCTGGGAGTTGAAGTCCACTCATCTTTAAGTGGCCAAGTTTGGACAACACTGCCTTACCTGGAATGTCTTTGTGGTTGGTTTTTGCTCATGAACGCCGAGGAGGAGAAGGCTGCAGATAAAAGCCAGGCTGGAGAGGAGGATTAGCAAGGTGTAACTCCAGGTGGGCAGGTGGAGCTGGTTCTTCCCGAACACCAGGATGGATGACAAGCAGAGGGCTGACACCATGAGGACAACCACGGCCACGGTGACCACTTCGCCAGGGTAGAAATCACTGAGGAAGTCCAAGTAGGGCTCAAAGGCTGCCTTCAGCTGCCCTGGCTCACGCAAGCTCCCTGCTTTATCTTTGCCCACCAACTGCAGCTTATCAGAGAAAGACTCGTATTCCTTTGGTTCGGTGGTGCCCGCGGGCTCAGCGGGTGCTGAGACGCCCTCACTCCTCCCCGCTGCGTCAGGAGGTTCGGTCTTGGCTTGCTGGAAGCGCAAGATGATCACGCTGGCTGCGACAAAGGTGTAAGCCAGGAGCGTGCCAATGGACAGGAACTGGACCAGGGCTTCCAGGTCAAAGATGAGGGAGAGGACGGACATGAGAAAGCCAAACACCACAATAGCCACCAGGGGGACCTGTGTGCGGGGGTGAACGTGGGCAAACACCTGGAAAAAGAGCCCATCCTCTGCCATGGCGTAGACGATCCGGGGCAGAGAGAAGAGGTTGCTGAGGAGAACTGTGTTCATGGCTGGAGAGAAGAAAAAGGCTTGTGGTTGGAGAGGGCCATCTGAGAGGGGTTGGGGAGTGTCGGAGAAGGCGCATGCAGCCTGCGGATCAGGCCAGACCTCAGCCCCTTTTCTGCAGAAGACTGTCCACCAGGCCATCAATTCTCTTATGTGGCATTTGCCAACCTTATTTGCGGCAGCAAATTCTACACTTTACTTCCTTTTTTAAACCTGAATGCCGCAACACCCAGCAACGGGTAATTCTGAATGCTAACTTGAAAGAAAGGGACAGAAACCCATTTTCACACCATGCATAATCTCACTGATTGCTGCATATCTTCCCTTTCCCACTTTCTGTAGTTTTTAAGTGGCCTCGCATTCAGGCAGCCTTCTCCAACCTGGGGCCTTCCAGCCGTGTGGAACCACAGGTCCCATCACCCTACCCACTTTAGAATTGGGTATAGTTATATCACCCCTTTACATCACCTCTCGTCTTGGCTAACTACCCCAGGCAGTGCTCAGACCTGGTCCTGCAAGGGAACCATGTCATGGTCTCTCCTACCAGCTCCTGAGTCCTGTGCCAGCACATCTGGAGAAGCCCGCTTTGGTAAGACCACATTAGGAGGAAGGGGAGAGGAAAGGGGAGGGGCAGAAATGGCACAAAAGGTGCCAGGCAGAAGATGTCTATGACCTAGACTTACCACAAATGGAACCGGCGGCCACAATGAAACCAGCCCATGAATAACCCCTCTGGTAGAAGGCATCGGCCAAGGCTGAATCAGGGTCCAACGAATGCCAGGGCACCATCAGCGTCAACACCATGGACACAAGGATATATGCCCCAGTGGCAAGGCTCAGTGAGATGGCGATGGCTCTTGGAATGGCCTTTTCGGGGTTCCGGGCCTCCTCGCTGGACGTGGCAATAACATCAAAGCCCACAAAGGCGTAGAAGCACGTGGCTGAGCCAGCCATGATCCCCGAGATGCCATAAGGAGCAAATCCTCCTTCGCTGGCACTCCAGTTCTGGGGCCTGGCCAGGATGAATCCCATCACCAGAATGAAGAGAATGACTCCCATGCTGATGGCTGAGAAGACATGGTTGAGCCAAGAGGAGAATCGGGCACCAAAGGAAATGAAGGCCGTTGCTATGAGTACAATGCCAGATGCCAAGAAGTCTGGATAATGGGCCAGGAAGGGTACCTGCCAGGTGCCAACATGGGCCTCTGTGAAGTTCTTGATCCTGTGGTCAAAAATGGAATCCAGGTAGCCACTCCAGGCTCTGGCAACAGCTGCCCCCCCGATCATGTATTCCAGAATGACATTCCATCCTATGAGGAAGGCCCAGATCTCACCCACGGAGACGTAGGTGAACATGTACGCTGAGCCGGTCTTGGGCACCTGGGCACCAAACTCAGCATAGCAGAGGGCAGCCAGCAGAGAGGCAACGCCCGCAATGATGAAGGACACCACTATGGCCGGTCCCGCTGTCTCCTTAGCAACAGTGCCAGTGAGCACGTAGAGGCCAGAGCCCACCATCCCGCCAATGCCCAGCAGTGCCAGATCAACCGTGGTCAGGCATCGGTTGAGGGAAGTCTCCATTAGATCATCTTCCAGAGTCTTCACTCGGTTGAGCTTTTGGCAAAAGCGGGCCAAGTCTCCGGAACGAAGCCGCCTGATTGCCATCTTGGGGCAGAATGTCCCCTCCTTCAGCAACCGAGAGGCAGAGCAAACTCGTTCTCCTGGCCCCAAAGGCGGAAGAAAATTCTGTCACTGCAGGATCAGAAAGAACCTAAGTCATTGCTAGAGGCAAAAATAAGGAGGGCCAGCAAGGAGAAAAAAGCAAGGGCCCGCGCTCTTCCTCTGGATACAGAGCGGGCAAATGAAGTGTGCCTGTTAACATCAGAGCAAGACTGAGAGATTCTCTAAATAGCTGCTACTCTATCTGCGCTGAAGTGGTGTCAGGAAGACAATGCATAGCATCTGCCATTTCACGGCTGGAAACACGGATGCTCTTCCGCCACGCTTGTGCTGCTAGAGAGCCCCTGCCTGAAGCAACGTCCCCCTTCAGTGCAGCGGGAGAAACACGAATTCCTCCAGGGATGAACCTTTCTGAACCTTTCTTCCAGATGGCTTCCTGGAACAGGGGTGGCCTAACCGGTTTCCAGAAGTAAAACTTCCAGAACAGGAAGTGGTCTCTGGAGCAGTGCATTTTGCACCCAACCCTGTTTGACCCTAGTGAATTGGGTTGTGTGAACCTAGCCCCTATGACTCCCTTTGCTCCCTCCCCACGGCTGGCATCTCGTCATGGCAGAAGCACGAGATGAGGGTGTCTGCCTTCCACGCTTTTGCAGTGGTGGATTTTACAGGCAGCCAAACCCAGCAGAGAAAGGAGCTCTAACCGGGCGCTGCAGTCTGTGGGGCGCAATCCAGGAGAAAGATGTCTGCCCAAGTTCTCCTGGGTGAAGCTCCTGAGAGACTCTCTCTGGTCTCTGCAGGATAAGCCACTGATGACCGCACCTCGCGCAGATACCAGGATGGGGTGCAAGTCTGGATTTTCTACATCAAACCATCATGTCCCACTCTTGTCTTTTGGGGGTGATCTGGGAACGGGAATTCGTTTCCAAATTGCAAGAGAGAACCATTCCAGCGTATTCTGCGCTGTGAAACCAGGTGTCTTGAGTCCATCCTTGGCCACTCTTGTGAAGGATGCAGACACACTGGAATGATCGGGAGATTGGAAACTAAGGCTTAGGAAGTGGTTGGGGTCAGCCTTGCGAAAAGATATCTCAAGCGGGAGAGGACTGCTTTCTTCAAATATTGCAAAAGGGGTCACGCAGAAGGTCAAGACTTCTTCTCTCCTGCTCCAGGCTGCAGGATGTGGATTTAAACGTCAGAAAGGCAGATTCTGACGTTTGGAAAACATGACTCCTACCACAGGGCTGACCAGGGCTTCTGAGCGGGCACAGTCCTTACCTGGCACCTGTCTGGAACTCCTGAAAGCAGCTGCATCTTGCCAGGGGTGTCTGGCTGTCCTCTGCTGCTGCCTTGTGATCCCAGAAAGACACACTTGCTCTGAGGAGGCACAGGCTGAGGCGGGCACCCCTTTGCCCGTCCAAGGCGCCAAGTATTGCAGAGCCGTTGGCGCGGTACCAGCAGCCCAGAGAAAGGGTGGGCTCCCAGGGGCTCAACTGAGCGTGGCTCTGCCTGGGATGCTCTAAGCGAGATTCCCGGGCTGACCAGCAGGTGGGACTGGATGGCCTCACTGAACCCTTGGAACTCCCCCTTCAGGGGAGGCCCGGGTCGTGTCTGGAAGAGGCCTGTTTGGCCCTGCGGCCAGCCGTGGCCCTTGCCTCCCCCTCCCCTCCCCTCCCCTCCCC